CAGTCACATCCAAAGCGCGCACTGCGAGTACCAAATTGAGAAAGTACTGTCGGGTTTGTCTTAAGTTAATGTAAACAGTTGTAAAATAAAACGCATGAGTATCAGCATTGGATCCGTGAAATAGGTCTTGTGACAGCAGCCTAGCTGTGCCGTCTTTTATTAATGTTAATCAAACAACAAAACTTACTGCTCTTGACTAAATAATGTTTTGTTGAATAACTTTTAATGTTAATTTAGTTTATTCAATTTCTGTAGCCTATTTAAAACACGTTCATCATTTAGAAAATGTAGTTAATACTTGCATCATTAATGATTTATTTTATCCACCCGCGACCCACCCGCAAATAATCAGAATGCATTTTTTTATTACCCGACCCACCCGATCCGCGGATTATCCGCAGCGCCCGCGGATATAACCGCCATCCGCGCATCACTAGTGCACACACTCACAAAGATTCAGAGGAAACATACTGTATATACAGTACATAAAAGATATATAAATATATAATATATATAGGCCTAAATACACACACTGCATGCTAAAATCCATCTAAAACTATTTTCAAAGGTATCATGCCACTTTTTGAATAATCACTTTGCTTGCATCTTTTGTGAGTAATGATAATTGAGCAACATGAAATATTTATACTTTTAAAAATGTATTTGACACAGGGCCATTTGAAATGCACTAAGGCCAAAAGAGCCAGTTACAATACCAAATATATGAACCTTTGCCTGTATTTCACCTAAAATCACATAATATACTTATGAGAACATATTTAGAGAACTTCTGAAAGTCATTTTTATGGTGATAATATATACTGCATGATCTCTCCATACATGCTCATATCACTGCCATCCACTGTCAAAATACTGAAAATGTTTGGCAAAAACCCCAAGCCACATGCCAGGATTGCTGCAACAATGAAGATGCTTTTGTGCTCTCTGGTAGCTAGAGGCAAGAACAAACATGTAAAGTAATAAGACTTGACTTAACCTAAGAGCATCCTGCCTAGTGAATAACCATTTATACTATGGTATTCAGAGGTCGGACGGGGTTTAGTGTCAAAGATATGCCTAGTGGCTCTTTTCCTTTTTAGAGCAGTTGTATAATACCCTCACTGCCCATCTTAGTCTCATCTCAGTTCAGAGGTCTGACTGTTATTAGCTTTTCCTTCCAACGAGTCCTCCATTTTCAAAGACCATACTTTCATCTCAGATTATGTATCCAAGCACACATAACGAGTATTCACACTACATGCAAAACATCTAAATTAAGATTTCAGCACTGCATATCTCCATCTGCTTGAGACCGGTAATTGGTGAACAAACTGCGTACTCCTCATTAGAGTTTTGTGAGGGTCACTGAGAATGATTCAAGGGTCTCTCATTAGAGATGCTAGAGGTGTGAAGCGAGGAAGCTCAAACAGCACATGAGACTGTCATCTCATTATCCCGATGTCCAGTACCACATAAACAACCAGAGGACATCAAAATTATATTAAAGACTATTGACACTTGCATGCATCTTTTTGCCATTATTAGTGACCCTGGATCTCAGCCATTAAATAAGCCAGAATACTCTTTTATGGTCAAATGAGATTTGTAGTTGTCAAAGTCAATTTGTCACGGCCCCTCCCATGTTGTTTGTTTATTAAAGCATCTGTTCATCCACTGATCAACAGTGTTGGGGAAAGTTACTTTTAAAAGTAATGCATTACAATAATGCGTTACTCCCTAATAAAAGTAACATTACGTTAGTTACTTTTTATGGAAAGTAATGCATTACGTTACTTCTTTAAATCTGGGCAGGGCTTGCTTGTTTGATTTTAATATAAAAAAGTTATCTTTTACAAATGTAAAAGCTCTTTTCACAAAAAAAGTGAAATTAATATGCCTTAGGCTAAAGGAAATGTAAATTCATGTCTGTACAGTAGAGGACGCAGCTCAAAAATTACATGAAGAATATTATCACTAAATTCAGCAATAACAAAAATTTGTTATTTTTGCTTAGTATGACTGAATTGGATCATTGAAGATCAGTAGCAAAGACATTGGTTACTAAAATGGGATTAATACATAAATGATATTTGTCTTAACAAATGTAATTATTGCAGGTTTGTATAATATTCTGAGTTTGCATTTGACTGTTTTTATTCATTTTGAGAATACTGAGTCTGTTTTTGTGCAGGTGAGATGAGTAAATATGTTCATATTAAGTCATATTAAGAATTACAGTAAGCATCATGTTCACACAGCGAACGCAACACCTCTGCACTTACTCCCGGTTTCTCTCAACATGGCAACACGAGACGAGAGCTGTCAGTCAAGACATGGGAAACAAAGTAACTGGCGTTACTTTTTTGAAAAAGTAACTCAGATATTTCCTTAAAATTCTAAATTCTAAATGCAAGGGTGCATTTAATTGATCAAAAGTGACAGTAAAGACATTTCTAATGTTATAGAAAGACTTATATTTCATATAAATGCTATTCTGTTAAACTTTCAACTTTTTCAAAGCACCCTGAAAAAAAGTATCATGATTTTCACAAAACAAAAAATGCAGCACCACTTATTTGATAACTACATTGATAATAAGAAATGTTTTTAAGCGCCAAATACATTAAAATATATTATTTTAAATTGCAATATTTCATGTTTTTACTGTATTTTTGATCAAATAAATGCAGCCTGGGTAAGCATTAGAGACGTCTTTTTCAAAATCTAAGGGGGAAAAAAAGCACAGAACCACAAAAATGCCTGTATTGATCACCTGTCCTTGAGATAAATAGAAAATCTAAGTTTGAACACCGGCTTGATTCTGAACAAAGTCCACTCTAATAAATCATTATTTATTTTCTTTTTATGTGCTTGCAGTAACCCTTCGTCCTTGCTCTACCAGCCAGTATCAGGCGACATTCTGATGTGACATCACAGTACAGCACTGTTCAAAGTCTACTGCATGATCCTGCATTAACTTATTCTGAGCTCTATGAATTTAGTTAAATAGATACTAACATTGGATGTAGAAAATAATGTGGCTGTGCAAGCACAATCAAGTTTTGCCCTGACACTAGACTGAGCAGTGCTGATGAGCGTGGAATACTAAACTCAATGGTGACTCACTTACTGAATGTTTTCAATGCGAGTGTGAGTTTTCAAATCTAAATCTTATATTTCTTAAAATGTGTAAAGTTCAGAAAAACCAAAAATAGATAGCATCGCTAAGAATGGACTGAACTACAAAAAGTTTGAAAGCTGAGTATGCCAGGTGTCACAAATTGCAGAAAATTGTGGATAAACTTCTGATTCCACATGAAAAATGCAGATACATTAACTTTATTAATAACCATATGTTTTTCTGCATCTCCTCCATCTCTCCACCTCTTTGATCTACTATGGTGATATTTTATGTTCTGATATTTTGAATAATTAATTGCCCATTAACGTCCTGCAACACTGTGGTGATGAATACCGGGATGCCTTTTCCCCTTTTAAGTGAAATAAATTGAACATAAAGCTATTTTATTTTCAGGGCCTATTTGGTAATATTGCCATCTTAATGAAGAGCCAACTCAAGCCAATGACATCCAGACAAGCACAATTCATCTGTTACAGCACTGCAAAACAAATCCCACAGTTTACTATTCTAACAAGGAATGTAAACGTATGATGCATCAAAAATTCACAATATAAAAACACTTATCTTTAATTGCAAACCCCCAAATTTAATCAAGTTAATGCTTAAAGACGTAAGGCAGCTCTATGAATATTAGCTTGATTACATTCACTCAATGGCCAAATACCATCTCAATGACTTGTTGACGATTAATCTGAATAAATTAAAATGTGTATGTTCATTAGGCCCTGAAGCAGCAAAGCTGCTGGATAAAAGAACACAGACATTTCCTTTCCTCTGCCATCAAATAAATTGGCAATTTCTTCCAAAAAAACTAAAACAAAACAATATTAAATACTTTACAAACTCTGAACAAGACTTGCCAGGGGGAAACATTGAATGTGACTTCATTATGCGCATGTTCTTTTTTTTCTCAGGGTGAAAACTGTGTAGTGATGTGTGAATGTTTGGTGGGTTACAGCGAGAACATGTGTAGTGTAGCATGATACAGAAGTAATACTTAAAATGCGTGTGAATGTAACAAGCAGCAGAGGTACTGTTATTTTCAAATTTTGTCTGTGCTGCAAATCTCACTGGTTGTGCAAGTTGAAGTCCAGAAGTGTGTTTGTGAAGGGCTTTTGTGAAAAGTGTACTTGCAAGGGGGTTTCATGGCAGTTCAGTCCAGTCTGTTTTTTTGTTGCTTTGGTTTTAAGAGGCGGAGAAAGAGACAGGAGA